AAGGCATTTGTCATGTGTGTGCGAATTTGTGTGGATTGGAATGGTGCCCCGCCCACACACCCACACACCCACACACCCACACACATGCAGTCGAGATACTGGGAAAGGTAACACCGTGTCCATCAATTCTTCACTTCACTTTACTTCACTTCACTTCACTTTCATTTGAATTTTCGCAGGAGACTTAATTTTCCTTGAATCCGCGCGCAGTTTGTGGGTGTTTTTTAGTGGGGCACATTTTGTAGTAGATTTATTTATACTTTTATTTTGGGGGCCTGTTAATTTGCCTGCCTCGCCATGTGAAAGTTTGCTGCATGCCGCAAATTGCACCGACGTGCGAATGTTGAACTAGGAAGGGGGTATGGCTATAAGTATGGGTATCCATCCCATGGATAGACCAAGTTGCCTTGCTCACCTGTCCTTCGGTTCCACATTCATATTTCATGGAGCTCAAGGAGCCCCCAAGGCAGGACAATGAGTCTTCGCTCCATTCGCAGTCCATAAATCCAGCAAATGAGGCAGTCCATCTTGTTACCAAGGCCTTGCTTTTGCCTTGGATAGTGCTAAGCCAAGATAATGGCCAGCTTTCAGTGCTTGTCTGGTTCGATTTAGTTGAAAAGTAAATTGAAAATTTGCTGTTAGTCTGTAATGGAAGGAAAAAGAAACCAGAAATTGGTTGAGTGGGAGAGCTTAAGGGTCTTTAAACTCATTAGAATTAAGTGGTTCATTGACTTTTATCTATTAGGCGAATGTATCGAGCTTGAATCTATCACCTCAATATAGTGCGATATAGAACCAGAGTGACCATAAAATTAATATTAAAATTTCAGAAAAAAATAAATGTAATCGACACAAAAGAAATAAGATTAACATAAAGTACTGAGAACCAGGAAATACCTTTTCATATCAAACTTTAAAATGGCAGTAAATAAACATATTTTATACAACTATTGACCAACCCGTTGCCATTTTTCCAACCTTTTAGCTTCATCAAAATATTTTCTTAGACCCAGACCGGCTTCCATAATTTTTCCAAGTTACCCAAGGCGAGCATAAATCTCCCCATGGGTCCAAAGGCCCAACCCAAACCGAAACCGAAGCAGTAAACCTCCACTTAACCTCCATTTCCCATTCCCAGACCCAGACCCCACAGAAACATGAGCATAAATTGAGATTTTGCCAAACATTTGCAAAACTTATTAAGACTGACAAATGTTGACAATTGACGAATTGACGCGCGGGGCGATCGGAAAGGTAGGGAAATCTGTCAGTGGTTCAACAAGCGGTTTTGGCCCGGTCTTGTCGCTTGTTTTTCTCTTTTTGTGCGGTTTTCCTCCCCTCTTCCAAATTGGTTTGGCTGCCATTTCGGTGACATTAATTTACAGTTTGCCAATTGCGATGAAGAAAAAGAGAACAACGGCAAAACTCATTAAAGAAACACTCTGGAGATAAGCGAGGGAACCTAAAAAAAAACCATTCGAAAAGAACTTGCGAAGCTAAAAAGCAAACAATTTATTGACGCTATTTTTTTTGGCAGTTTTCATTTGCCCGCAAATTACATCTCAATATAGGGTTAACAAAAAATAAATGAGAAACTAAATTCCCATGTAACACAATCTGCCGGTTTCAACCCAGAGATCAATTGGCACAAACAGATGCGATCATAAATTAGCAGGGAAACAATATTTTTTATTGGTTCATGCAAGAAAAGAAAGTTGAACAGGAAAGGGGAATTTGTCATTTTTTTGTTATCATTTTTAATTTGTTATTTTTCAGCTTTAAGTTGTTTATAATGGATCAACATTTTTTAGGGTAAAAATGTAACAAGACAAGCAAACAAAATCTTGAATAAAAGTAGCGTTCAAATAACTTAAATTGAATTCAATTTATTGATTATCATAAAGAACATGTTAGAAAATAGTAAACTGGTTTTTATCACTTTTTTTTTAATTAAATTAACTATTAAATTTAATTGCGGATTTTGTAACATCATTTTAAAGAGTATTAAACTTTGCAGAAAGGGTCTCAGCGGAATCGTCCGTTTATTCACGGGAGCTCTTCCTGATTAACAAAAGGGAAGAGCAGATAAGCCATCTTCGCACGCACACTCGCACAAAAGCGAGCATTATGCAATGATCCTCTGACCACTCTGCATTTCCCTACCTCCCGTACTCCCCCCACTCTCTTCTGCATTTTCTGACCACTGGAGGAAATGAGGTGAATGCCTTCTTAGCAGGCGACAAGCAAAACAAAAACCAACAAACTGAGAAATTGAGAAGAGTGAGAGAAAGAGGAAGCGGCAGCCCAAAGTCCATAAGCAAAGCGAAATCGATATTTTTCAGGGACGTCTCCTTCCCCATGCTTAAAAACCCCCCTGCCTTCCTCAATTTCCTTGCATTTTTATGCTCTTTCCTTAGTTTTCTTCTTTTTGCACTTGAAAAAAACTCATAATTTTATTCGGTTGATTTAAAAGATATATATTAAAAAATACCAGATACCAAAAAGTTTGTGGTATATTTATATTATCATTTTGCGTTAAAATGTATTTAGAAATTTTGATTGTTATAGAAAAACGTTCAAATTATACCGATATTTATATTCCTCCCTACTTCTTGTTGTTTTAAATAAGGTTTCAAAGATTGTGTGCTCATACTCATATTGTTATCCGATTACTTAATTCTGAAGGTATACTTATTAAAGAAGCATTTTAGAAAGATGATTGGTACATCTAAATTCGTAATTTCCTTTTGCTTGAAAATATATGGTTAGCATACTATCCTTATTTATTTCCCAGTGTACTTCTTGTTGTTTCCAATGTGGTTTCAACAATTGTGTGCTCATTCAGAGAGGGTGACGTTTAAAGGGGGCGAAGTGGGTGTGGGTAAAAGGAACAGGAGGACAGTGGTATAAGTGGCAAACCAGGGTATGACTAGTTTCAAACTGGGTGGTGACTCACCCACAGAACATTTGCCACCAGCTTGCAGTTCTCTGTGCACTCTCGTACTCGTATCTGTATCCGTAGCTGAGTGTGTGGTGCTGTTTTATTTCGTATCTTGTGGTTTCAGTGGTGCCACATTTGCCGCTGACACACGTGAAGCCACATCAATCCGTCAGCCGACTTTTGCACTTAAACGTGTCGCTTTGGTTTGCCCTCTTCTTTGGCTAGATTGGTGGATAAAGGGAAAATCATGAAAAACCGAAGTAATTGAAATTTACTTACTTTTTTTGTAGATCTATTTTTATAATAATTTATATGTACTAAAATGATTTGTATTCCACAGTAAAGTATTCATTTTTTATTGCCTATTAAAAGAAACTATTTCATAAAACCTTTTATTAATGATTTCAATTCAATTTTTTATTTTATTGACAAAGCTTTCTTGTTAAAAACCTATATAATTTATTGCTAACACTCTATAATAACAATTTTAATAAATCTGATACAAGCACTCAACGAATAAGCACTAAATATTTTACTGCACTATTTATCTTCATTTGGAATTCCTTGTGAATTCTTAACTATCCAACAAGTCCACTCTTTAACTCAAGTTTACTTTCACATTTATAGTTTGGTCCCCCTTATAATTTCCTGACGCTCAAGAACATAAACCTGCTGCAAGTTATCGCCTCATCTTTAGCTCGTTCATGGACTTTTCCTCTTTCCCAAAGCCATCAACTTGGATTACTATACTCTGCTCCTCCCTGGAGGCGATACTCAATTACGTGCACTTGTCACAGAATCCAGATGGTTCTGCGGGGATAATGACGATCACTTAGCACATGATCCATTCCGTAGTTAGTTGGTTAGTGACTGAAAAGTCCGCAGTCATCGCGCGGCAACCGATGATTAGCCGCCAGGCATAAATTCTTAGCTTTATCTCGGAGATTGCGTAACGGCTATTCATATGAGTTTTTCCCAGCTTTTCCACTCATGAGAGTGTGTGAGCCATAAATGGCAAGCATTAATTACGTGGCCCGCTCATAAAAAGTGGAAATATTGCAAGAGCGCAGGGGCGGAGATGCATTATCGTTAAAACAAATGTTCGATTTTAGTCTCCGGGCGAATGCAAATATATGGGTATAAAAAAAAAGAGGGGAAAGCCAATCGATCCATCGATCGGTCGTTCATCGAAATCATCGGTCAGGCCCTTAGCCTCGGGCTCAACACTTGTTTTCTGTTGTTTTTTTTGTTTTTTTTTATGGGAAAGCATAAGATTGCATAAGTAGGACAACAGGGCGGGGTCCTCGATTGGGGAATTTGGGTTACCAAAACAGAGGGGAAAATGGAGAAAAAATGCCTGAGAAGGAGTAATTTATGCTGAGAACTTAAAGTTATTTTTTGGTAACACATCGCTGACCCATTTAAGCTTTTGTGTGTAGGTGGAAATAACAAATTATCCATTTAAAATGTCACAAAAATGTCACACGAATCGACTTCCCCTGGCGCCTTCTCTTTTCCCAAAACGTGTGAACAAATGTGTTCAATGCCACGCCCCCGGGCCACCTATACACCCACCCACCCCTTGATCTCGCCCAGAAAATGCAATTAAATTCTCCGAAAGCTGGAAATTGCCTCGAGTTGCAGTGGTTTCGATTTGGTCTGCGCTTTTGGCCTCGTTTTAGGTGTGGAAAATGACACATTTTGAATTAAGACATTTTTAGGTAGGGGTTCTGCGATAGGAGTTTTGTTGCGGAGCGCAAAGGTAGCGAATTCCGTCGGGGGAATTCAATTTTATTTATAGGTCGTGCGGGTCTGATAGAGCATATAATTTTTAATGTATATGTTAAGAGGAAAAATGTTGTGTACTTATTTCTTTGTAAAATGTAATGCATATCTATAAAAATTTTAAACTTTTCTTAATTCATACACTTGCTGATTTTATTAATTTATTTGTTTTTCGTTCCAGGTATGTTGAAGACGGCTAACGTTTGATGAATAGAAATGGCGTAAGAAAAATCACTTTGAACTTCCTGTTTTAAATAGTTATATATTTCCTATATTGACCCCCGTCGATTTCCTCAGCCAGAAAAATGTTTTCCCTTTTGCATTTCCCAACGTTTTAGATGGAAGCGCAGGCGGATTAAAGAGCTGCTAATTATGCACACGTAGGCCGGATATGGACACAGTACTGCGTATGCTAATCGAATGTAGCTGCGGTCAGTCTCGAACCATCTATGGAGTGTAGGAAGCATTTATTAACTAAGCTTTGAAAAAATAGGATGCATATCAAATTGAATCAAGTTTACAAGCCAATCCAATAGATTAAATTTATAACCACCCGCTCTCAAAGTAAACGTAATTTTTTACTAAAGAAACATTAAATTCATTTCTTTAATAATCGAAAATTTGGTTTTTGGTTGTTTGCTCACAAAGTTTCGTGATAATTAAATACAGTATTAATAGGAAAATTAACATGTTGGTTCCTGCTATTCACTTTTTTTCAAAATCGAACAAAAACGGATCTAGTTTTCTTCAACTGGTTGGATGATTTTTTGATATGTGGTGGTATTCGAAAGGGATCGGGGGGCAGGCGCAAACGACGGCGATGCAGTGCTTCCAGGGCCAGTTCCTTGTACTTCTGCTTGCGTTCCCTGTCTATCCTTTTCCACAAGTCACTGGCCAATGCCTGAAGTCGCACGAGATCCTTGAATCCCAGTCTGCGAATGTTCAGCTGTTGATCTGGTTGAAAGCCGTGTTTTCTTCGCTCCTGTGAGATGACAAGATCGTAATATCCCTCGTACATTTCCCGCACGAAATTCTGAAAGGCCGATGTATCTGCCTGCATTATTAACTTCCGGTTTTTCTGGTGCTCCAAAGTGCTTGGCGAGAAAGACACATGGCGGCTTATAGATGGAATCAGCAATCGTTTGGGTCTCCTGCCTCTTTGCAAACTCAAAAAAGTCTGCAGACCCCGGCTACTTGCGGGAACTTCACGAAAAACGCTGTCCTGCGACCTTTTAGGTGGATCTGTAAGGGAGTCTAGAACAAGCCAAAGATTTTTCCAGAACTGGGGCATTTTAGACTGTGGGTTGGGTTATCCAGCTCCAATGAAAGGACCAGCATGGCCAGCTGCTCCAAAACGGCCCCCTCGTTACATCTGTAATATAACTTTATATCTTTATTTTGTTCTTCAATTTTGCTCTTTGCAAATTATATCAAAATTCAATAAATGTATGTGTGTTAATGTTATGATGATCATTGTTAAAGTCACAATATAAAAAAAAAAACTTAATACGAAAAAATGATTCAATTTAAAAAATAACTGTGGGATATATAGAATGACAAAGATTAATTGACAACGATGTTTGTTATTGCTTTGGTCATCTATAGACGTGAGAATAAATTGCTTGCTTAAATAAACTCAATCCACTTCTTAAAACAATAATTTTACAATTAATAGTCCACAAAAAATTAATTGAAATCTATTGATGAGACATAAAAACCATGAATTTAGATTAACATAAATGGTCATCTCCGAATTTTTTAGATTTTTTTCATTAAAAAGTAGGGCTACCTAAGGTTTAAAAACCCATTTATGAAACCCAATGAAATCGACAAGATATCGCATCCAGAGTTTTATTTATCGTGTTTGGTGTTTCATCTAAATACCACTCCGCACAGTCCCACCTTCCTTAGTCCCCTTGTCCGCCTTCATCCTCCTCCCTTGTCCAATCCCGTGTTGTTCTTCATCGCAATGACGCATTCCTCACCACAGGCCGTCAAAACAGTCAAAAGGAGGTCTTTGCCACCCTCAAATTCAGAGCGTAGAGATCCACCCAGTTCGCCGTCCGGAACCCTTAGATCCTCGCGTATTTCCCCATCATCACCCATCAGAGTGACGAATCCATCGTCACTGACATCGGTTAGCTGGTAATCCTCGCGCTTCACATGCGGCACATCCATGTTGTGGGTCGAGGGGCAGATGTCCTCGTACTTCTTCTGGGTAAAAATATCTACACCCACTAGATGGACCTTGGCATGGCCGTGTTTACCCGTCTTTGAGGTGGACATATCCACGATCTTGCAGGGACGTCCCTTCAGCATGACAAACCCATTCTTTCGCAATGCCGAGCACTGCATCGGAAAGGTCTTCGACGCTCCCGAGTCAACGGCATCGAACTGGGCATCGTCATCATCTGCCATGACTAGGGATTGTTGTAACTAATTTTTATTTATGTTTTTCTTTTTGTTATCCTTTTTCTTTGAAAAATAGAAAAAAAAGGATTTAACTTTCCCGTCCGCTTGGTTATTTGTAACTGAACTCAAAGCTGTTAGGCACTTGCCTAGAATACGTTTTTAAATGAAATGAAATTCAAAGGTTTCTTTGTGCAAAAGAAAAAACATAAGAATGTCAGATAGTATAAATTCATTTCCTTGAGAAAAATGAATCTTCAAAGTTCTTTTACAAAAAAAAATATATAAAATATTAAATATTGATATAGCTAGCGTTACTCAATCTTCTCAAATCTTTAACGATCTTCACTTATTCGTCTAAGAATTTCATTTCCATTGTGATTGTAGCAACATTATTTACAAATTCCTTAGCTCTTATCCACATTAAGTCAAACTGATCTCGACAATTTATCAAACAAAAAACCCCTCTGCCAAGAAAACCCTTGAATCAAATTAATTAGAGATCATTAAACTTGATTCGCCCTCTCTTTCTACAGGGCGTGTCAGGGTCAGTTATGAAATCGCCTCGAATCGTTTATCAAAGGTGGGTCATTCCAGCTGGGCTTGGATGAGGTGTGGCCGGTGGATAGTTCGTTGACCCACTGAGCTAGGAGTTGGACCCACACCACCAGACCAGACCAGACGGTCTGAGGTGGGCCACCACCTGAACAAATTCAACACTATTTGCGAATCGAACAGTTTTCCAGCTTTTCCTCGACTGTCGCTTCCCATTTGCATTTTCATTAATTTCTTGCCACGTTCGTGTTTGCTTTATTTACCCTTTAAAAGGGGGATCGGGATTTTTTGTTTTTAACCTAAAATTAGTAAGTAAGAGTCTAATGTAGGACTAGATATTTGTAATTCTAATAACTTGACAAAGGGGTTAATTTTCTATATATTTTTGTCTATAATTGTAATTACTCTTTTAAATTCTAGGACAAAAGCCCAAAAGTAAGAAAACCTTTCTAAAATGCAGGAAATATTAAGCTCAAAGAAGTTGGGTCGACTAAAATCGAATTTTCGAAATTTGAAAAGCGGAATCGTTTGCCCATTTTTTGCCCACTTTTGCCCACCAATTAGTTTTTTTTGCCCACCTCCAGTTTTGAAAATATGGGAAGTTCGAAAATTTTCGAAGATTTTCGAAAACATAAAAGTTGACTTTTTTAAATTTTTTTTTTTTAATCGCAAGAGAATCGTTTGCCCATGTTTGCCCACCTTTTAGAATTTTGAAAAAGTAAAAACTTTAAAAAATATTGAACTTTTAAGTTTTCATAACTTTTTACCCAATAAAAAATCATTTGCCGAAGGCAAAAAAACAATTTTTTCGAAAAAATAAAAACTGCCCATGTTTGCCCACCTCTTAAAATTTCAGAATCTAAAAAAAAATTCGTTTGTCCACCTCTTAAAATATGATTTTTCAACAAAAAACGTTTGCCCACCTCTTAAAAATTAATTTTTCCGACAAAAGTCGTTTGCCCACCCCTTAAAAATAGTTTTTTCGAAAAAATAAAAACTGCCCATGTTTGTCCATCTCTTAAAATTTAAGAATTTAAAAAAAAATCGTTTGCCCACCTCTTAAAAATTAGTTTTTTAACAAAAATCATTTGCCGACGGCTTAAAAATAGCTTTTTTCGACAAAAGTCGTTTGCCCACCCATTAAAAATAGTTTTTTCAAAAAAATAAAAGATGCCCATGATTGCCCACCTCTTAAAATTTAAGAATTTAAAAAAAATCGTTTGCCCACCTCTTAAAAATATGTTTTTTCAACAAAAAACGTTTGCCCACCTCTTAAAAATTAATTTTTCCGACAAAAGTCGTTTGCCCACCCCTTAAAAATAGTTTTTTCGAAAAAATAAAAACTGCCCATGTTTGTCCATCTCTTAAAATTTAAGAATTTAAAAAAAAATCGTTTGCCCACCTCTTAAAAATATGATTTTTGTTAAAAAACTAAAAAAATATGATTTTTGTTAAAAAACTAATTTTTAAGAGGTGGGCAAACGATTTTTTTTTTAAATTCTTAAATTTTAAGAGATGGGCAAACATGGGCAGTTTTTATTTTTTCGAAAAAACTATTTTTAAGGGGTGGGCAAACGACTTTTGTCGGAAAAATTAATTTTTAAGAGGTGGGCAAACGTTTTTTGTTGAAAAAACATATTTTTAAGAGGTGGGCAAACGATTTTTTTTTAAATTCTTAAATTTTAAGAGGTGGGCAATCATGGGCATCTTTTATTTTTTTGAAAATACTATTTTTAATGGGTGGGCAAACGACTTTTGTCGAAAAAAGCTATTTTTAAGCCGTCGGCAAATGATTTTTGTTAAAAAACTAATTTTTAAGAGGTGGGCAAACGATTTTTTTTTTAAATTCTTAAATTTTAAGAGATGGGCAAACATGGGCAGTTTTTATTTTTTCGAAAAAACTATTTTTAAGGGGTGGGCAAACGACTTTTGTCGGAAAAATTAATTTTTAAGAGGTGGGCAAACGTTTTTTGTTGAAAAATCATATTTTAAGAGGTGGACAAACGAATTTTTTTTTAGATTCTGAAATTTTAAGAGGTGGGCAAACATGGGCAGTTTTTATTTTTTCGAAAAAATTGTTTTTTTGCCTTCGGCAAATGATTTTTTATTGGGTAAAAAGTTATGAAAACTTAAAAGTTCAATATTTTTTAAAGTTTTTACTTTTTCAAAATTCTAAAAGGTGGGCAAACATGGGCAAACGATTCTCTTGCGATTAAAAAAAAAAAAATTTAAAAAAGTCAACTTTTATGTTTTCGAAAATCTTCGAAAATTTTCGAACTTCCCATATTTTCAAAACTGGAGGTGGGCAAAAAAAACTAATTGGTGGGCAAAAGTGGGCAAAAAATGGGCAAACGATTCCGCTTTTCAAATTTCGAAAATTCGATTTTAGTCGACCCAACTTCTTTGAGCTGAAATATTAATATATTTTAGGAAATCTAGAAATTACAAATTTTTTAGACTTTGTTTGGTAAATTTCTTAATATTAGGTTTATTTTATTTACTATCTTTTCAACCGACCATATCTTTTAGGTTATTTTAAGTATTATTTTTTTAAGCAACTATGTTTCATCTTTCAGGGTATTTCGGGCTTCGGTGTTAAATCTATGTGCTTCTAGTCTTTTATATATTTTTCTGGCGTCGCTTAGGCGGCGGAGGATTCTCCTCTGCCTTTTGCCGGCGATCAGCCTCCACCTCGCACCCCCTCTGTAATTTTTTTTATTTTAACTGTCTGTGCGGATCATTTTGAATTGACAGCAGCTCGTTTTGCTTCCTTGTTTGCCAATTGCATTGGCAAACGATTTGAAAGCATTTGCATTGGTCCAGGGGCGCCGGTGTGTGGGGGGTTTATTGAAAGAGAGGAGGACAGACAGGCACTCACTCAATCATGCATTCATTCACTCAGTCGCTCATTCAATCATTTGCCCGCCCCCTCGCTTCTCCTCTCGCTTCCTGCCATTCAAATTTTGTAACTGTTTTGTCTGCCAATTTGACATTTCTGCCAGCGCTCTCCTGCGTTTTCCAAAGCGCCCGAAACCCAAAACCCCTTTTTTTTGTAGGTGTGTTGGTTTTGCATGTTTTCCTGTGCGTGGTTTGCGCCCCCCTTTTCATCGAAATACGCTGTCATGTCTTTGGCTTAAATGCAATAAATTTGCTAATACAATTTAATATGATTTTTCGAGTGGAGTTTTTGGGAAGCGGGCTCGAGGGCACTCCCTGAATTTAATTGGAACCCTGGGAACCTATTTGCGGACCGCGCATGATGTCAGAACTTTGAGTTGTTTGTCGTGTTCGAAACAAAAAAGCAAGCGAATTGAAAATTGAACAAATAAAAATATACACTTGTGATATGTTGACAGCTCACAATTCCACTTAATTGTAGCGAAAGATGGAAAAAATAAGAGGGAATAAACAAGATTATCAAAACCCGCATATATGCCATGCTGAAGTTGGAAGTACTGTTTTGAAAACATTATGCATGTCGTCTCGGATAAGAAACGGGTGCGTTTATTTATAGCAATTGCTTAAATGATTAATGTGGACTTTATCAAAGAACGTCAAAGAAACTCGGTTCGACTGGATTTTAGCCGATGATGACTAATTGGGTGCAGATATTGTGTTTGAGTATATGCATAGAATGTTTTATTTGAATACATACATAACACACAGCGGATATCCTTATTTTCAATCTTGTCATGAATAAAACTTGTTAAGTTAAATAATTTTCGTACCTAAATTAATTAAATTTCTTAAGTTAGGCAACAAATTCATTGAGTAATTTCCGACCTCATTTAAAAGCAAGCAAATGATATCTCATATTAACGAACAATACACAACAAATTAATGCATTTTTGTGCAATGTTCCCTCGTTCCCATAACTGCTACCCAACCACACCCTTACCAACCGCTCCCCGCCCACTTTCCCAACTCCCCCTTTTCCTGGGCGCATAATGCGTGCTGTTGGCAACATATCCAAACAACATAAGGAAGAAACTGCAAACCAATTCAGAGACCACTCCCTCGTTTTTCCACCGCCTCTTTTGCTGCTTAGCCAACTGACATAATTCCCAAGGAAAATGTTAAATGCATTAAAAACAACAGTTATGTCTCAATTAGGCGCAAACCAGTTTACAATAATAGCGAAAACAATATCAACAACCAAAGAAAGCTCAAATTAAACTTTAAGAAGCAGCAAAACCAATTCATTATAAAAACAAAACACGAGCCGGCAGCAAAAAACAATTTTTGCAAACAATGTGCATTGGAAAAAAAATGGAAATGGAAAGAGCGAATAGAAAAACTTCCACGCAGTGCCGCTTTTCCTGCTTCCCATGGCCCCAAAAACAAAAAGTTGGCCAGCGGAAAAAACTGTTTTCATATAAATTAATTTCCTTTTGGCGGCCCAGCTATGGGAAAACTGCAAGGATGCAAATAAGATGGTGGAGAGGTGGGGAAATGGCTGAGCCTTTAACCTTATGCTGCAGAGTTTTCCACTGTCCGTTTTTTTTTTTTTTTTTTTTTTTTTTTGAAAACTCGTTGATGGGGGCAAACCCACGCAGCGTTTGCTATTTTAATGGAGTCATC